CCCCAGGGCGAGTCAGCTGCTAAGCAGGACAGGCAGCAGCAGCAAAAACACCCGGGAGGCCGGATAAATGTCCTAGGCGGGCCACATGTGGCTCACGGGCCGTAGTTTAAGGACGCCTGATTTAGATGGTGTTTGAAGAAATGGCCCAGACCAGAACTGGGACCAAAAAAGTACAATATGTGTCTAGAATATCTTGCTGCGACATAAAGCAGAGGTGTGTTCAAAGAACAACCAGGATCCATCAGGTGATGAAAATCGGGCCAAAGGATGGTAGAAACATTTTCCTTAAGGGATGTGAATCAATATTTGCTAATTTGGTATTTATGGTGACTTTATATAACTTATCTACTGGAAGTAATGAGAATCAACTGTGCAGATACAGAAACATATATTTTTATGAAGCTGCATCTACCTAGCAAAATTGCAGCCTGGAATGTACCTCAGTCCCCACATTCTCTCTGGCTTACCCAGAAAGTGTTTGGAGAGGTTGTACTCTGAGGCTGCCGAGGCTAGAGTTCAGAGACAGCCTTTTGTTAAAGTAGCGATTAGAAGGAGTTTGTAAAGAAATAGGAGGAAGGGGGAGGCGCCTATAGCTCAAAAGGGCGCCCCAGCCCCATATGCCAGAGGTGGCAGGTTCAAACCCAGCCTCAGCCAAAAACTGCAAAAAAAAAAAGAAAAGAAAGAAAAGGGAGGAAGGCCAGGTCTGGTGGCTCATGCATGTAATTCTAGCACTCTGGGAGGCTGAGGCAGGTGGATTGCCTGAGCTCACAAGTTCCAGACCAGCCTGAGCCAGAGCAAGACTCCTGTCTCTAAAAATAGCCAGGCATTGTGGTGGGTGCCTGTAGTCCCAGCTACTTGGAAGGCAAGAGAATTGCTTAAGCCCAAGAGTTTGAGGTTGCTGTGAGCTATGAGGCCACAGCACTCTACCAAGGGTGACAAGTGAGACTCTGTCTCAAAAAAAAAGAAGAAGAAAAGAAATGGAAGGAAGACAAGTCAAAAGAGATGAAAGTTGGAACATTTGAGGATGAAACTTTGGGAGACGACCGGGGAAGAGGCTTAAATTTGAGGGAACAACTGAGGGAAATGAGGATGAGATAGCTCTGGGAGATGGCAAAAATTCTTGAGGACCTATGCACCATATGTTGAATAAATGAATCTGTATCCTTAGCACTTATTAACCCTGCTTATTGTATATCTCCACCACTATGCATATGTCCATCACTAGAATGAAGCTCCAGAGGGCAGGACTTTTGGACTACCTTTTCAATGCTATGTCTGCAAGTACCTAGAACAGTGCCTAGTCTATAGTAGGAGCTACTTTTTTGTTTTTGTTTTGTTTTGTTTTTGAAACATAGTTTTACTTTGTGCCCTGGGTAGAGTCCTGTGGCATCACAGCTCACAGCAACCTCAAATTCTTGGGCTTGAGTGATTCTCTTACCTCCACTTGCCAAGTGGCTGGGACTACAGGTGCCCACCACAACACTCAGCTATTTTTAGAGAGGGGAGGTCTCACTCTGGCTCAGGCTGGTCTTGAACCCATGAGCTCAGGCAATCCACTGGCCTCAACTTCCCCAAGTACTAGAATTAGAGGCACAGGCCACCACACTTGGCCTAAGTTAATATTAATGAATAAATAAAAACATCTGTGGAGGGCTGGGCATGGTGGCTCACGCCTGTAATCCCAGCATTTGGGAGGCTGAGGCGGGTGGATTGCCTGAGCTCACAGGTTCCAGACCAGCCTGAGCCAGAGTGAGACCCTGTCTCTAAAAATACCTGGGAGTTGTGGCAGGCACCTGTAGTCCCAGCTACTTGGGAGGCTGAGGCAAGAGAATTGCTTGAACCCAAGAGTTTGAGGTTGCTGTGAGCTATGACATCATAGCACTCTACCGAGGGTGACAAAGTGAGACTCTGTCTCAAATAAATAAAGAATAAATAAATAAATAAATCTGTGGCAAAAGAATTTTTATAGGGTTCCAAGTAGGACTTAACCCAATTTCCTCTAACTCACAAAACTGAGGGGTGTCCAACCCACAGCCCTTGGCGTTGGAAGACTATGAATGCAGCTCAACACAAAATTATAAACCTATAGGGCCAGGCTCAGTGGCTCACAACTGTAATCCCAGCACTTAGGAGGCCGAGACAAGTGGATTGCCTGAGCTCACAGGATCAGGACCAGCCTGAGCCAGAGACAGACCTCATCTTTAAAAATAGCCAGGCACTGTGGTAGGTACTTGTAGTACCTTGGGAGGCTGAAGTGAGAGAATTGCTTAAGCCCAGGAGTTTGAGGTTGCCGTGAGCTATGACCTCATGTTACTCTACCAAGGGTGACAAAATGAGACTGTCTCAAAAAAAAAAAAATTACAAACTTAGTTAAAACATTGAGAATTTTGTGATTTTTTTTTTTTTGGTGGAAAATGTATAGTTCTGCAGCATGAACTTTGTAGATGACAACAACCTCGTGTCGTGTAAATAAACACATCTCCGATCTCACCATTCGTACAGCTGCATGGCTTCAGTTTCACGCAGTGTGAGGCCTTCCCTGTGTTACCTTCCACCTGCAGACAGTCGAGTTGACAGTGTCAGACGTTACATGTGTTCGAGGTGACCTGGGAGGGTAACAATTATCAGTGATATTTCAACCTACCATTGCAATGGTAGGTGTTTAATGTTATTTAGAAGTCAGGTGAGCATTCTTATTTGATTAGTAAGGCACTTCCACACCTTGGTGGTACCTCACACATCACCCACTGCACTTCATAATCAGCCTCCACCTCACCCGGCATCAGCAGCCAAGATGCAGAAGGGCCCAAACTTTGCTTTCTATTTTCCTGTCAATTAATTTTCATTACGAAAGTAAATATAGTCCTTTAGCTATTATTATTTTTTTAATCCCAGATTGGCTTCTACAACATCTCAAAAGAAAATAGAACCCCCAAAGAGAAAAATTACAGATGAAGGAAGATTGGTCAATGTTAAGTAGACAGATGACGATTTTTTTGGTTGAGGCAAATAGTAAGTTTGTTAAGTTTAGTTAAGAAAATAGTGAATTTTTTTGGCTGAGGCAAATAGTAAGTTAGGGAATTTGTGCACATTTTCAAAGACTATAATTTGAAAAGACATTATACGCAAAAACATGCTGTCAAATTCAACACATATGAAGGTTTGTGTTGTAAAGACAAAATAGCGGAACCGAAAAAAATTTGTCCTCTCAACAAAAAAAAAGGAATTTTTTTTTTGAGATAGAGTCTCACTTTGTAGCCCTCAGTAGAGTGCCACGGCATCATAGCTCACAGCAATCTCAAACTCCTGGGCCTAAGCGATTCTCTTGCCTCAGCCTCCCAAGTAGCTGGGACTATAGGTGCCTGCCACAATACATAGCTATTTATTTATTTATTTGAGTCAGAGCCTCAAGCTGTCACTCTAGGTAGAATGCTGTGGCGTCACAGCTCACAGCAACCGCCACCTCGTGGGCTCAAGTAATTTTCCTGCCTCTGTCTCCCAAGTAGCTGGGATTACAGGCACCCCAACAATGCCCAGCCATTTTTTGGTTGCAGCAGTCATTGTTGTTTAGCAGGCCCAGGCTGGATTCGAACCTGCCAGCTCAGGTGTATGTGGCTGGTACCTTAGCTGTTTGAGCCACAGGCATTGAGCCACATGGCTATTTTTAGAGATGAAGTCTCACTCTGGATCAGGCTGGTCTTAAAGCTGTGAGCTCAGACAATCCACCCACCTCAGCCTACCAAGTGCTGGAATTACAGGCATGAGCCTCAACAAAAAAAATTTTTAAGTGACAACTCAAGACAGAGTCCAGTGTAAAAGCTAGTTATGATGTGGTAGCATATTTAATAGCAAAAAAAAAAAATCAAAACCATTTAATGGCAGTATGTTTAGTAAGCAATGTAGATACAATTTTCCCTGGAACAAAGGGGGATATTTCTAAAATCAGTTTGTCTCAGCAGACTACAGCCAGGCAAACTGAAGAAATTGGAGAATGTATTGAAAAAGTTTAGGTAAGGGCCTTCTGCCCTGACGGGGCCTGGCGCCACCAGGGCCTCTCAGGGGTCGTGGGCATTTCTTCCTCTCTGCAGCTCCAGCGTGAGATCCCAGAGACAGGAATTAAAGATCGCATCTTGCTATGTGGCTGGATTTTCTTACTACTTGCTCTTCTCACCTTAATTATTTCTGTGACTACTTCGTGGCTTAACTCATTTAAATCTTCCAAAGTTTATCTGAAAGAAGAAGAGAAGAACAAGAAAAGGCAAAAACTTGTGAGAAAAAAGCAAGAAGAGATACAAGGTGAGAAGACCAGTGAATACATAGAGAATGTTTTAAAGCCTCACCAGGAAATGAAATTGAGAAAGCTGGAGGAGCGTTTCTATCAAATGACAGGTGAAACCTGAAAGTTACGCAACGCTTACAAACTTGGGGGTGATGAAGATTCGGCCCTTGAACATGCGAGTCAGACATCGTTCAGAACATCAGACCGAGAACCTGCACAGAGACAGAGCTGAGCTGGCCTAAGCCTTTAACCAAAGCTCCAACACCTGCTGAACAGCCCACGGGGAAGGAGAGAGTCACCGGCGCTCCCCAATGGCTGGGTGGGTATCGGGAGGAGAAGGTCCTTGTGTTCACAGGTCTTATTTGACTGGCTGATGAGAACTGGATTCCACACGTCCTTACAGCCTTTTTCCTTCCTTCCCCAGGAGGCCTCTGGAAGTGGACAGAGGCTTGTCACTGGAGGACGTAGGGATTACTGTGGACACTGTGCTCAGCGTGGAAGAGAAAGAGCAGGGCCACCAGGAGAGTAATGAGAACCGCCTGTTCTACCGAAAGTCAGCTATGCCGGAACTGACAGGACACTCAAGGCTTCACACGGAACCCGTGCTCTACCTCGACTGAGTTCAGGTAGTAAACGCTTTCACTGTTGATAACTGTGGGAATAGCGACACGAAGGATTAGAGAAGTGTTGTTCTCACACGTCATAATCTGTGGAATGTCCCATTCTACGATGTATTAAATGAGAGTGAGGTAAAAATGGACATAAGGCCATCCATGGTTTGTATTTTTCCCAGCTGATGTAATTTCTCAGTATGGTTTTGTTTGTTTTTTTTTTTTTTGCAGTTTTAGGCCAAGTCTGGGATTGAACCCACCACCTCAGTTATATGGGGCCAGCACCCTACTCCTTTGGGCCACAGGTGCTGCCCCACCCAGCTATTTTTTTGTTGCAATTTGGCTGGGGTCAGGTTTGAACCCGCCACCCTCAGTATATGGGGCCAGTGCCCTACCCATTGAGCCACATGCACTGCCCAATTTCTCAGTATGTTAAAAACAAAGTCATAGCGGGACAGCGCCTGTGGCTCAAGGAGTGGGGCACCAGCCCCATGTACTGGAGGTGGCGGGTTCAAAGCCGGCCCCAGCCCCCCCCCAAAAAAACTGTAAAAACAAAGTCATAGGTTTGGTGCCTGTAGCACAGTGGTTACTGCGCCAGATACATACACCCAGGCAGATGGGTTTTTTTTTTGAGACAGTCACACTTTGTTGCCCTGGCCAGCTAAACAACAATGACAACTGCAACAGAAAACAGCCAGGTGTTGTGGCAGCTACCTGTAGTCCTAGCTACTCGGGAGGCTGAGGCAAGAGAATCGCTTAAACCCAAGAGTTTGAGGTTGCTGTGAGCTGTGACATCAGGGCACTCTACCCAGGGCAACAAAGTGAGACTGTCTCAAAAAAAAAAAAAAGAAAAGAAAAAGTCATAGAACTTTGGTTTCTGCCTCTTTGTCTTACCACACAATAAATATTTCACAATTTAGGCAAACTTTTCAAAGCATTATAAGTAGTAATGTTTATTCTGCTGTATTTTACACTTTAAAATGAATTTTGAAAACTCTTTAAGGCTTGGTTCAGTGCCTGTGGCTCAAGCGGCTAAGGTGCCAGCCACATACACCTGAGTTGGAGAGTTTTAATCCATTCCAGGCCCGCCAAACAATGACGGCTGCAACCAGGAAACAGCCGGGCATTGTGGCGGGCACCTGTGGTTCCAGCTATTTGGGAGGCAGAGTCAGGAGAATCGCTTGAGCCCAGGAGTTGGAGGTTGCTGTGAGCTACGATGCCACGGCACTCTACCCAGGGCAACAGCTTAAGGCTCTGTCTCAAAAAAAAAGAAAAGAAAAGAAAACTCTTTAAGGCTTTAAAGTTCTTTTTGATAGGCAGATACTACATTTAATATTTTCAGTTCATATGATTTTGCCCTGTATTAAATTGTAACATTTAAAAAAATAAAGAAAAGAAAGAAGTGTAGGTAGTAAAGCTGCTAACTTTAAATGTTACGCTTTGGTGATGGATGGCAGCTCTGATGCTACAAATGTGGCTCGATTTGCCGCTTTTGTTAGATGTACTGATGATGAATAGAATGTCATGGAAGAAATGGCTTCCTGTTGCCATTAAAAAGCACAGCTAAATCAAGAGATTTATAAGAAGAAGTAAAAATTTCATTAAATCAATTTTCTGTGTGCATTGTCAGCACACCTATAGTTAGTGATGGTGCCCCAGCAACAGCGGCAAAAGAGAGGGAGTTGTGAAACAGCAAATGCCGCAACCGCGGCCCTAAACCCATGTCTGACGAAGCATCAGTGCACAATACATTAAGAAAATTTATGTGTAAAATCTTGAAAAATGGATAATGTCTTGTAAATCATCATCAAGACTGTGAATTTCATGAGGAACAAGTGGTTGAATGATCACCAATTCCAGGAATTCCTTAAAAGTATTGATGCTAACTATGGTGACATCCATTTTACTTTTTAGAAGATGACTAATTTAAGGCCAAAGGTTGAAAAGATTTATGGGATCGGTGCCCGTAGCACAGTGGTTACAGTGCCAGCCCATATACACTGAAGTTGGCGGGTTCAAACCCAGCACAGGCCAGCTAAACAACAATGACAATTGCAACAAAAAATAGCCAGGATATCACAACAGCCGGATATTTTTAGACTGGTCTTGAACCCGTGAGCTAAAGCAATCCACTTGGCCTCCCTGAGTGCTAGGAGATGCTGAGAACTTTTAAAATCATCCAAAGTCGCTTGGCGCCCTGAGAGCAATGGTTAGGGTGCTGGCCACATACACCAAGGCAGGCAAGTTCGGGCCAGGCCTGCTAAACAATGACAATTGCAACAACAAAAAAAATAGCCGAGTGTTGTGGCAAGCACCTGTAGTCCCAGCTACTTGGGAGGCTGAGGCAAGAGAACCACTTAAGCCCAAGAGTTTAAGGTTGCTGTGAGCTGTGACGCCACTGCACTCTAGGGAGGGCAACATAGTGAGACTCTGTCTCTAAAAAACAATCATTCAAGTCATCAAGCTTCATCCCCTTTGTGTTGAAGAGACGTTCCTTTTGGTTATCTTTTATTTACTGCAAGTGACAAAAAGAAATGAGGTACAGGAAAGAGACCTTCACGGGTGCTGAACATGTTCAATACGTTGATCTGGATGGAGGTTACAGGGTAGTATGAATATGTAAAACGTCATCAGTGTGCACACTTACAACACACGCACGTTACGGTATTCCGCTTACATAATTTTCTTAACAAAGTTCTAGAGGCAGCGATTTGTGCTTCCAACACCAGCACTGGCCACAGGTGGAGCAAGTCTCTCGACTCAGACGGCAGCCGTCTCCTGATCGCTCCCGCGGCCCAGTCCCGCGAGAGTTCCCGCGGACTTGTCCTCAGACTCAGAGTTCCCGCCCTTGTCCTCTGACGCAGTTCCGAATCCGTGGTTTCACGGTGCTGGCCGCTGATCTGCGGGAAGGACCCTTGTCAGGTTTAGGCCATACAAAGGGTAAAATTAACCCAGTACTTTAACCCCTCTGGGCTTTGCAGGATTTATGTTTTAAAATCCTGAAGGGTTTGCATGGGTCTGACCGTGTTTGGCCAAAACTGCAGCCCGGGCCCATCCACCTAAGTCTCAGGGCCACTGAGCCACATCTTGCAGCTCCTCAAGTCTGGCTTGCGGGCAGAAGTGAGTACCAAAGTCTTGGAACCCTGAGGAGAATGCCTTTCAGCCACCGGCATCCCTAGGGCCACGGGCAGAACATTTGGCAGCAGGGACAGGGACGGCTCCAGATTGTCTATGCTATTGCTGGGAAAAACGAAAAAGGCAGAAGGATCCCAGAATATCTGATTCATTTTAACGGTTAGAATAGAAGCTGGGATCGATGGGCAGCTGAAGAACATGTGCTTCGTGATACCAGTGAAAATCGTAGATTACAGCGTAAATTGGCATTGAAAAAAAAAAAAAAAACGGGAGCTCGCCTGAGAAGCACAGAGAGAACCCAGAAGATAGAAAAAGCACTGTAGGTTGCCTGGTGTAGATACTGTCTTTAAAAGCCTTCCTGTTGAAGAAAAAGATGAAAATGATGAACACTCAGTAAGCAGCTCCTCTGATAGTAGTGAGGAAACAGTTGAAGAAATACGAGAAGAAAGCGATATTGAGTAAAAGGTGGAAGTGAAAGAACCCACGCTGCAAACAGAAAGGAAAATGGAAAGAACAATAACTATAGAAATCCCTGAAGTTCTGAAGAAGCAGCTTGAGAATGATTATTGCTATATTAACAGGAGGAAACGGTTAGTGAAACTTCCTTGCCAGACCAACATCATAAGGATTTTGGAATCCTACGTGAAAGATTTTGCTATCAATGCAGCCTTTTCGGTCAATGAGAGGCCTCGTCACCACCATATTGTGCCGCAGGCCAACACAAATGTGCGTTATATCCCAGCAGAAAAGAATGTTGACCTTTGTAAGGAGATGATGGACGGACTAAGAATAATCTTTGATTACACTCTCCCATTGATTTTGCTCTATCCATATGAACAAACTCAGTATAAAAAGGTGACATCGTCTAAATGTTTTTTTCCAATTAAGGAAAGTACCACAAAAACTACCAAGAGCCAGGAAAAGTTGTCCCCTAGTTCACCTCTGTTAAATCCATCCACGCTGCAGTCCACAGAGAGTCCGCAGACCACAGGTGAGCCGGCAACTCCCAGAAGTCGCAAAGCTGAGCCGGAAGCATTGCAGTCTCTGAGGCGGTCCACGCGCCACACTGCCAACTGTGACAAGCTATCTGAGAGAAGCGCCTTGCCTCAGCCCATGCGTAGGCAGCAGGACACGTCTGCCGGTATGCCTACGTTATTCCTGCACCTGGAAAAGAAGACATCAGTGCATAGCAGATCATCTTCACCTATTCCTCCTCTGTCTCCCAGCAAGGAAGGGAATGCAGTGTTTGCTGGCTTTGAAAGGATAAGAACTACTGAAATAAATGAAGTCCTTTCCTGGAGGCTTGTGCCTGATAATTATCCTCCAGGTGACCAGCCACCTCCGCCATCTTATATTTATGGGGCACAACACTTGCTGAGATTGTTTGTAAAACTTCCAGAAATCCTTGGAAAGATGTCCTTCTCTGAGAAGAATTTGAGGGCTTTACTGAAGCACTTTGATCTCTTTCTGACGTTTTTAGCAAAATACCATGATGACTTCTTTCCAGAGTCAGCTTATGTTGCTGCTTGTGAAGCACATCACAGCACCAAGAACCCTCGGGCAATTTATTAAAGTTCTGATGGTTCTGTAAGACCAGCTGTTTCATCCAAGTTTTGCGCTTTGATTCCAGGTGAAGAACTTACATGATGATGAATCTTCTTTGCAGTGTCCATCTTGTGGGCTCTGGCAGAGGTGGACCCTGTTGTTTTAGTTGCCCACATCCTTAGTTATTTTGTTAATTATTACTTCTAGGTGCCTAAAAGTGTTCTGACACACTACTACACAGGCCATCAGTGATGGCAGAAACAAAAACAACTGTGTTCACAGTGAAATGTTCCTAAGAGTGTACATAGGTTAGGCCATTTTGGTAGATGTTTTAGTTAGAAAGAACCGCATTGTTTAGTTATTTGTTAGCATTAAACAAAAATTTTTTTGCAAACTGTTTCCGTTCTTTTATGAGGCTAAGCAACTCTGTTTTAGTCTGTACTTGGAACCACAAGGTGTCTCAAAAGCGTTTTAGAGGGAATTGGTATTGATGGTAAAAGAAAATTTGCAGCTATACATTTGCTCATAAGGGTTACCTCTCTGCCAATCATTATTTTTGTTGATCTAAAAAAAGCATTGCTTGTCTGTTGAGATTTTATAGCTACACTTTGTCGTGCAATGTTACGGTTCCCTTTCTGCAAAATGTTATTTTGGGTGATCTAAATAAAGCACGCCTGCTTTGTTGGGGGTGGGACGGGGGGAGGAGTTCAGCGGGTGAACGCTAGCGCGCCCGGAGGTGGGACACGTAGGTGGGTGCGTGCGCGCATACGCACACCGCGTCACGGTCGCCGGAAGTAGGTGCGTGCGCATGCGTATCAGTGTGCACATGGACGGGAGCGCGCAGAACCGGAAGTGGGGCTGCGCACCCGGGAGGTCGCTGGCCATGGAGGGTGGCTCAGTTGGGCAGCTGCTGGAGGGGCAGGCGGAGGACCCTGACGCACGGGGCACCTCCTGGAGCGGAGACAGCGGCACGGTGTCCCAGAGCCATAGCAGCGCCTCAGGACCTTGGGAGGACGAGGGCGCGGAGGACGGCGCGCCGGGCCGGGACCTGCCGCTGCTGCGCCGTGCCACCGCAGGCTACGCCTCCTGCCTGCTGCCCGGCGTCGGGGCCCGGCCAGAGGTCCAGGCCCTGGACGCCAGCTTGGAAGACCTGCTCACCAGAGTGGACGAGTTCGTGGGCATGCTGGACATGATTCGCGGCGACTCGTCTCACGTTGTCAGTGAGGGGATGCCTTGCATTTACGCGAAGGCCTCCGAGATGAGGCAGATCTACAGCAGGATCGACAAGCTGGAGGCCTTCGTGAGGATGATCGGCAACAGCGTGGCCAGGATGGAGGAGCAAGTCACCAAGGCCGAGGCTGAGCTGGGGGCTTTCCCCAGAGCATTCAAAAAACTCCTGCACACAATGAATGTTCCCTCCCTCTTTAACAAGTCGTCCCCCTCGCGGCCGCAGCAAACCGGCTACGAACCCCCAGTCCTATTTCGGACTGAAGACTACTTCCCTTGTTGCAGCGAAAGACCTCAGCTCTGACCACTCCTGCAAGAGGACCCAGCTGAGAATCTTACCTCGCGCACAAAGTTAATTAAAACTCTATTAATGTTTGATGTCGGACGTACGGAATTTTTTAAGCTTCCTGTCTGCACATTCTCCATATAGGATATAGGTTTTCTGTGTCTTCCAATTTTTTTTTTAATAGATTCAGGGTCTCATTATGTTGCTCAGGCTGGCCTCGAACTACTAGGCTCAAGCGATCCTCTGGCATTAGCCTCCCGAGTAACTGGGACCACTGATAACTGGTGCATCCTACCCAGACCTTGTCTTCTGGTTCTACCCTTAAAGTTGCTTGGTGAAGGGTTGGGGAAACAAAATGAGTGAACTTATCTGTGCACTGTGGCAGAACTGTTATTTGTATGGATTTTACTACTCAACTAACAGTATTAACCTTTTAGAGATTTATATATTTATAGGCGAGAGCTGTTCGTAAAGTATCCAGTCATGCATGTCTCTGTTATTTATTCAATTTCAATCCTAATAGAGGTTCATTTTTCTAATTTTAGCCTAATTTTAGCGTAGATGGCACATTATGGAGCATTATATTAATTAAACTTTGTGTAGCATGGGTTGTGACTAAAGGAAATTATACAATTTGTGAGAAAACGACGCCTGTAGCTCAGTGAGTAGAGTGCCGGCCCCATATACCGAGGGTGGTGGGTTCAAACCCAACCCCGGCCAAACTGCAACAAAAAAATAGCTGGACGTTGTAGGGGGCGCCTATAGTCCCAGCTACTTGGGAGGCTGAGGCAAGAGAATCGCCTAAGCCCAAGGAGTTGGAGGTTGCTGTGAGCTATGACTTCACCGCACTCTACCAAGGGTTAATAAGTGAAACTCTGTCTCAAAAAAGTAAAGAAAATATATTGGTTTTTTGCACCTAATTCTGAAGTTGTATTTGAAAGTATGACTTCACAGTCTTAGTTTGTCCATAGCAAACATGTCTATATATATAGTTGCCAATCTTTGCTTTATAATAAAAATTTTTAATTTTATTGGAAATGCTTTCCTTCTGAAAAGAACTCTACATATTTCTGTTTTCATTTGTTTAAACATATATTGCCCATACCATTTCAGTAGTAAGATAAAAGTGGCTTTGAAAGCTAATGAGAAAAACTAGCCATAGCTACTATTTCACAGTATAGATTTCTTTTCCTGGAAATGGATAGTCAAATCATTTGCATGAGTGAGTGGTATTGGGATTTTGTTTCTTTCACCCTGACAACCTGGAAGGTTTAATGACCCCTTGCAGATACAAGCCCACATCTAGATTTAAACTGTTTTATAAGGTGGCTCTCCTAGATAATAGATACCCAGGCTCGGTGCCAGTGGCTCAAGCAGCTAAGGCGCCAGCCACATACACCTAAGCTGGAGGGTTCAAATCCAGCCCCAGCCCACCAAACAACAATGATGGCTGCAACCAAAAAATAGCCAGGCGCTATGGTGGACGCTTGTAGTCCCGGCGGAGAGGGGAGGCAGGAGAATCGCTTGAGCCCAGGAGTTGGAGGTTTCTGGGAGCTGTGATGCCACAGCTCTCTACCCAGGGTGACAGCTTGAGGCTCTGTCTCAAAAAAAAGATTTTAAGTTTCTCTTTCACTTTCTCAAATGCCTCTGAAAACCAATTCCTGGTCTTGGTAGAAATGTTGCTCTGTTTCATGCAGTCAATGACTTCCTAGGCTTTGTCCTCCATGGCGTTTCAAATTCCTTCAGCTTATTCAAGGTGCCAGAGAAGTCCGGAGCCGCCTGGGCTGGGGCTGGGCCTTCTAAATCCATTGACAGACCCACACTAGGATCAGGAGTGATAGCATGAGCCTCACGGTAGGGCCAGAGGGGCATTCTGTATCTTAACTGCTTGCCCCTCCGATACCCTTAACTTCTGAAGTTTTTTGCCATCTGCTTTAGCTGTTCTGTGAACCACTTTCTATCTGCAAGCAGTTACTTTCCCACCAATATGCACTTGTGCCTGCAGTTTGATGAGTTTCTCCTGGTTCATGATTGTTTCTTTTTTTGTTTGTTTGAGACAAAATCTCACTTTGTGGCCGTTGGTAGAGCGCTATGGCGTCATAGCTAACAGCAACCTCAAACTTTTGGGCTCAAGCAATTCCCTTGCCTCAGCCTCCCAAGTAGCTGAGACTACAGGTGCCTGCCACAATCCCCGGCTATTTTCAGAGGCAGGGTCTCGCTCTGGCTCAGACTGGTCTCACACCTGTGAGCTCAGGTAATCCACCCACCTGGGCCTCCCAGAGTGCTGGGATTACAGGCATGAGCCACCAAGCCTGACCTTGATGATTGTTTCTATGATCTTGTTGAAGCATGGAGAGGGCTATGTAGGGGACTAAGGGTGGCACTCAGGGTCTCGAGTAGACCAACTGAGTTTAGGCACACACACAAATGTGGAGACACAAAATGGCAGCTAGAACTCAAACTTAGCTGTTGTGGATCTTCTGGGTTACAAATTTATATTTTTTATGCAAATAGTTCATTTATTACATATTAAGGAACTCCTGAATCTGAAAGCTGAAAGAACAAGTAACCTGCATTTAATATTTAGCAACTACTGGGTACTGCTATAAGTAATTGGTATGCTGATGATATATTCACTGAATATGAAAATAGCTTTCTTACATAGTATATATATTGCTAAATTTATTTTTTCATCTCATATTAAAAGGCAGGTAATTGTGGCAAATTATAAAAAGTTAGAATAATTTTAAAGTAAGGTTAAACATTTGCCTAATAGAAACATTAAGTTGAGCCAGGCAAGGTGGCTCATGCCTATAATCCTAGCACTCTGGTAGGCCAAGACAGGTGGATTGCCTGAGCTCATGAGTTAAAGACCAGCCAAGCTAGAGCACGACCTTGTCTCTAAAAATAGCCCTGCAGTCCCAGCTACTTCAGAGGCTGAGGCAAGAGAATCACTTAAGCCCAAGAGTTTGAGATTGCTGTGAGCTTTGAGGGCACAGCACTCTACCGAGGGTGACAGAGTAAAACTGTCTCAAAAAAAAAGAAAGAAGGCTCAGCGCCTGTAGCTCAGCAGCTAGGGTACCAGGCACATCCACTGGAGTTGGCAGGAAAAGGAAGCCAGGAAGTCTGAAGGTGGTAGTACCAAGAAGAGCATGAGTGTTCCTGATTCCCTTATCCCTATTCTTTTTTTTTTTTTTTTTTGAGACAAAGTCTCAAGCTGTCACCCTGGGTAGAGTGCTGTAACATCATAGCTCACAGCAACCTCCCACTTTTGGTCTCAAGAGATCCTTTTGCCTCAGTTTTTCTATTTTTAGTATAGACAGGGTCTCACTTTTGCTCAGGCTGGTCTCCAACTTGTGAGCTCAAGTAATCCACCTGCCTTGGCCTCCCAGAGTGCCAGGATTACAGGCGTGAGCCACCACACCCAGCCACCTTATCCCCATTCTTGAGACAGACACGTGACCTGCATCTAGTATCTATCTGCAAGCTGTCACCCTGGGTAGAGTGCCGTGGCATCACAGCTCATAGCAACTTCCAACTCCTGGGCTTAAGTGAGTCTCCTGCCTCAGCCTCCCAAGTAGCTGGGACCACAGGTGCCCGCCACAATGCCCGGCTATTTTTTGGTTGCAGCCGTCATTGTTGTTTTGGGGGACCCAGGCTGGATTCAAACCTGCCAGCTTAGGTGTATGTGGCTGGCACCTTAGCCACTTGAGCCACAGGTGCCCAGCCTATCTGTTTTCTGTTATGCAAACCAGCTTCAATTTCCTGAAATCTCAGAAACATCAATTTACTAGGCAGATTTCAGGATCCAGGGCCCCTTAGAGACAGACTACACATACAGTCATGTATGCTAACATCTGAACCAAGACTTTTTACTTTTTTTTTTGAGACAGAGCCTCAAGCTGTTGCCCTGGGTAGAGTGCTGTAGCATCCCAGCTCACAGCAACCTCCAACTCCTGGGCTTAAGCGATTCTCTTGCCTCAGCCTCCCAAGTAGCTTGGGCTACAGGCACCCACCACAATACCCGGCTATTTTTTGGTTGTATTTGTCATTGTTTGGCAGGCCCGTGCTGGATTCGAACCTGCCAGCAAGTGAGGCTCTGTCTCAAAAAAAATGCACTGTAAAACCTTCAGAAGGAAAGGAGATTGTTTTGTGGACTGTTTGTTTCTTTTTGTGTGGCAGTTTTAAGGTATTAGTTTTTAAAATCAGTACTGTTTAATAGAAATTACCAAAAATCTATCACAGAATTGTGAGACCCATTAAAACAAAGCTTAATGAGAAAAAAGAAAAAGTGTTAGTTCCTAAGGATTTTTTCTTACTGCCAAAAGTAAATAAGGAGAAAGACAAGTTCAGGATGCCGAACAGGAAGGGCAGGCTATGACCTCTCCTTGAAAGTCACAAGAAAGTGGGCAGCACCTGTGGCTCAGTAGGTAGGGCGCCGGCCCCATATACCGAGGGTTACGGGTTTGAACCTGGCCCCAGCCAACTAAAACAGCAGCGGCAACTGCAACAAAAATAGCTGGGTGTTGTGGCAGGAGCCTGTAGTCCCAACAACTGGGGAGGCTGAGGCAAGAGAATCGCCCTAGCCTAAGAGCTGGAGGTTGCTGTGAGCTGTGATGCCACAGCCCTCTACCAAGGGCAACAAAGTGAGACTCTGTCTCAAAAAAAAAAAGAAGAAGAAAGTCACAAGAAAGTACTGTGCAGCAGGGTTCATATCTGTCTCATCACCTCACTTTCTGCACCAGAAACTTCTATAGACTCTCTCACAAGGACTACGGCTTAGAATGACCTCTGGTTCATAGTAAGAGCTAACATCCAACTCAGCACTCCCACAATATATTCCAAGTATACTCCTCTCTCCATCCCATCCAAACCACTCACATCTCACCTGGGCCACTCAGCAGACTCTTTTTCTTTTTTTTTTTTTTTTTTTGTAGAGACAGAGTCTCACTTTATCACCCTCAGTAGAGTCCCATGGCATCACACTGTTCACACTAACCTCCAACTCCTGGGCTTAGGCAATTCTCTTGCGTCAGCCTCCTGAATAGCTCGGATGCCTGCCATAATACCCGGCTATTTTTTTGTTGCAGTT